TCTTAATAGCAGAGTTGTGCTGTTTTCCATTCAGCAGAAGTCGGCGCTTGGCTCAGTGACATACAACCTGAGTAGAGTTTTCTGGTTGCAAGCTGGAAAGCAGTAGGGTTTGCTAATTGTTGTGGATGTCATTCACAGTGATATTTCTGTGTCTTCAAATAATTGTTTATGTGGGGCAACCACATTGGACTTCAGGGAACATTCTAGTTGTACTTTCATCTTTACACCATATTGATGTCTATAATTGTTTCATAAATGTAGAAATCACTCTCATTGTCAGTGTTGACATCAACCTTGAGTCTTTTAAGAAGTTTACTGTTTTTTTGCTTGTTAAATAAACTAGAAATTTTAACTAGAATTTTAAACTAATTTTACTAGAGTTTTACCATTTTATCAGCAGTTAAGTAAGGTTATAAAACATTCTTTTAGTGTTTCAAGTTTATTTTGTGACAGTTTTTCATGGTTTTGTAAAACATCGTCCATCTCCTGTATGGCTTTAGAGCAGAGGCTTGTTGGTCTTCTGTTGTAAAAAGGCAAACTCCTTTCTTAATTGGTCATACCTCCATGAGGGGCAGCCTGAATGTTGCAAGACCTTGCATTATATTTCTTTTTTGCATTTGAACACAGTTATTCTTCTCACTTGGTTTGACTCATCCATGACATTGAATCTCATCCATGACATTGAATGACATTCGAATGACATTGCTTTGGCCTTTTAGCACTGGCCTCATCGGCATATAGAACTTTGGAGCTGACGTCACAGCGTATGACGTTTACGTCACTCTGTGCCATCTTTGGTGTCCACAGACCAAAACAAACTAGTCAGAACACCGATCTTTTCTTTGCGTTTCCGACCACAGTGAAGTTGTTTTCAAGTTGGATATTCGCACTCCGCGGAGTAAGCGGCATTTAGCTCAAGGTTGAACCGAAGGTTTACTTAGGGACTGTCAACAAATTACCAAACCAAACACTCCTGTCAAACAAATGTTAATAAATGCCTTGAATTGTGACCAACTGACTGTCAGTGCTAATTCGTGCTTTTAAATGAGACACAATATCCTCTATTAAATTTTACAGTCATATATTTTAAATCATTTTAATGTTTTCTTCAATAGCTTCCAAGTCATCTGACCTATTTTCTCAATCACTTTGCAATCTTTCTACTAGTCTGTATAGGTGAGGCATGGTCATTTGTTTTCCATTTTAAGTCATTTTCCCTTTTTTTTTTTTTTTAACAATTTTTTTTTGGTCAAAATTTATGGTTTTTCTTCAATAGCTTCTAGGTCATGTGACCTGTTGACTCAACATCTGTGTGAAATTATTCTGCTAAACTATATAGATGAGGCATATTTTTATTACATTTTGACCCCTTTTTTATTTTTTAACCAAAATTATATTAAAATATTTTTTAAAAAATGTTCATAAAATGTATTACCTCAGGCGATCATCACATTTGTTACCTGTAATGTTCAATTACATAAAATTCTAGAACAGGATCTATTTCATTACAATTACCTGAAATATGTTAAATACAACAAATATTTACTTAAAGTGTAATCTATGTCATAAAATTTACTTCTCACCTTTATTGTTTAATTACACATTAAATGTTTAAAGATGGGCTCTTTCATGTGCTTTGTCAAGATGTGGTGTGGCAGTGGACCCAAACGCAGCAGGCCGTATACATACTTTATGTGGATGCTACTTTAATAAACAAAATAAAGCCAAATAAAGCCAAACAAACCCAAAAATCCATTGTCCTGACAGTTTGCTTGTTACATTACATGTAACAAGCAGATGTCTGATTGTATAATTGTTTACTTTAATCACATAAAATATTTATTTAGAATATAATATTTCATTATGTGTATGTTTATTACCTGAATTATTTTAAATATCAAATTTTTACTTAAAACGTGATTCATTTCTTCACCTGTTTACATGCAACTTGAAGTGCTTGAATCAAACGTTTCATGGATGTTTACCACAAGAAATTATTGAATGAGAGAATACAGCCACAGGGCTTAAAGAGCGCTGGTCGGGGGCCGGATTTTCGGCTTTTGACCAAACGGTCCACCTCAACCAATCTTCATGGTCCGCCTCAACCAAGCTGTAGCTCCCTGGGGGCCAGACTTCTGGCTTTTTCAAGCAAAGCGAGCATTGGACCAAACGGCCGCCTCAACTAAACTGTAGATGATAGACAAAGATGTCTGCCAATCAGAATTCTAGCTCCCGTGTTCTTGACCAATGACTGTAAAACGGTTTGTAAAAAAGAAGCGCATTTGTTCTGTTCAGCAGTTAAATCAAATGGGATATGAAAGAAGATGGAGTTTGTCTCACCCGGTAAAGAAACACGTTTACTTGAGAAAGGAATTAAAAACAAGTGGCGCTGGGCATGGCTAGAGGAAAGGGAACAAGACGGGAAGCTGGCGGAAATTTTTACAAAAGGAGGGCGCTGGGATTTCTTTGGGGGGCGTTTGGTCGAAGGTAAACTTTACACCTTATATGCACAACAATACCAGTTTAGACTTTGAGCAACTTGGTAAAACTGTATTGTTTAACATTAAATCATGCCTGGCTGCAACTGTATCGATGGCAGCTCTTCTTCTTCTATTCAGTGTTTGTAGCTTTTGGTGCAGCTCCGCTCCTGCTACTGGTAGCTTCACCGCATCAGTTCAGTGTTACACCGGCTGATGATGTTGCTGTGATTCACTTTGTCTGGTATTTTTGTACATATNGGCTAGAGGAAAGGGAACAAGACGGGAAGCTGGCGGAAATTTTTACAAAAGGAGGGCGCTGGGATTTCTTTGGGGGGCGTTTGGTCGAAGGTAAACTTTACACCTTACAATCACAACAATACCAGTTTAGACTTTGAGCAACTTGCTAAAACTGTATTGTGTAACATTAAAACATGCTTGGCTGCAACTGTATGGCAGTTCTGTAGCTTTTGGCGCAGCTCCGCTCCTGCTACGAGTAGCTTCACAGCATCAGGTCAGCGTTACACCGGCTGTTCCTGTGATTCACTTTGTCTGCTGTTTTTTATATTTTCAAATATTTTATTTTTTAGGATTTTTGTACATATGTTTTGGCAGTTCTGTGATCATGTCAAAGCAGCAACTTGTATTAAAAAGTGTTTTATTT